AGTTTTACCCTTGGTTAACCATAACTCGAATCAATCACTTCGGTCCATATACCAAGTGTTTCCATGCACAAAGGGTCACATGGTTGAGGGTAGGAGCACCTATTCTCACGAGATTAATCAAGTACACCCCTTGGTTAATCATAACCCGATTCAGTTCCCACACCCCAAGCATTCTATTTACACTTCTCCTAAAACTACATATTTTGTTAATTGAATCATGACCACCCTTCACAAACACCGCCTCTTCTTACCTATAACATTCTCTCGTAGGATGTTAGTTCCCTCTAAATCTACTTTTTTCCTTCTGTTGTAATTAAAACAAAAAACTTCCCATTCACAAATCAAAAATCTAAAAACACTTAATCATTACTTGAATTTATTTTAAAACTTGCAAAACACTCAACAAATTAAAACTCCCCCAAAGGGCATGTTATCTCCGTTCTACCGCGATACCGGCTGTGCCTATTGCTAGAATGCGTGCGTTAACATCGCCCACTAAAAAACACAAACAAATCAATCATTTTCTAGAGGAACTACTGTGTTCTGATTCCTTCATTGGATACGTAGGCAAAGGGTCGCGAAACCATCACGAACGCAATAATAAAAAACCATCCATTTCCCTTTAAGAAAGCCTAGTTGTAGTTAAATACACCCTTTAAAACAAACAAACAAAATGGATCCCGTTGAGTACAACGGATACGAGGGGTGCTAATACCTTCCCCTCGCATAACCAACTCCCTTACCCTTTCTCTTGGTCGCAAGACCATCTTATCCATTCCCTTGTGGTTTTATCGATATTTCCCCTTCCTTCGGGATAAATAAAGTTCGGTGGCGGCTCTGTGTTTTCTACCGGTAGCTTCAATCTCTAGTCTAGGATTTGAGAGAGGTGTAACCTATGAGTCTATATGAATCATGGTGAGGAGCTTCTTTTGGCTTTTCTTCATTATTAACATATTTTCTTCTGTAAGGAGTCATATTGTTGGGATATCTATACAGCTTGTAACAAGAGGACTTTAAATGACCAAACAACCCATAATAATGACATCTCCATGGCTGATACATGGGACTATAGTACCTTCTCTAATGTCTCGGCTGATGTTGGGACATGTGACTTGACATCTTCTGCTCTTGTTTCATATTTTAAGGATCAATCATCACTACTTACTTGTCATTCTTAACATCTTGGTTATTATAACCAAGACCCTTCATATTCCCAACATTCTTCCTAGGTTGAAGAATATCATTCAGCACAATAGAGCCATGGTTTAGCATTCTTGCAAATTTGGTGATATTGTCAAGTTTTGATTTTTTTAATATTACCTCCTTTTTAATATTAGCAATGATAGATAGGTGCTCTTCTTTCTTAGCCTCCAGTTGAGCAATAAATATCTTTTTCTCTAACACATTCTGACACATTTTTTCATTCTTGCAGCACATCTTTGTGAATCCAACCTCCACTTCACCAACAGTGAGTTCTCCAACATATGATTCTTTATAGGACTCACAAGTTTCTTCATCAGACTTACAAATCCCATTCAAGGCAGTCACTTGCTTGGCTAATTCTTCTACATGGTCACTTTTAGATTCTCCCTCTGACCATGATACATATAAGCTTTTCCCTTGTTTTTTTAGATAGGTGGCACATTCAGTTATTATGTGTTCATATCCCTCACATTCATGGAACTGGATACATTTCCCTTGGTTTGTCTTCTCTTCAAATCTTGACTTCCTTACCAGGTCTGGGTTTTTGTTGATGTCGAATGACATGCTCTAAGCATTTAACCTGGACATCCTCAACACCTTGTTAAATTGTCTTCCCAATAGCACAAGGTCCTCAAATACTCCTTATGAGTTCACCTTTCCATTATACTCCGAGTCTTCAATACTAGAGGTCAAATCTATACTCTTATTCTTTTCATCCGCTATCATAGTGCTTATATCTTCTAATTCTTCAATAGCAATCACCTTCATGTCAAATTTATTTGGAAGAGCTCTGAGGATCTTCCTGATCATCTTATCTTCTGATATATTCTCTCCAAGGTCTTCCGAGTCATTTGTAATATCTAGAACAGTCATGTGAAATTTCTGAATACTTTCATCCTCCTTCATCTTCAAGTTCTCAAATTTGGTGGAGAGAAGTTGAAGTTTTGCCAACTTTACCTTAGTATTTCCTTCATGAACCTTCCTTAAGGCCTCCCACGCAACTTTAGCATGCTTACAATTCTTTATCAGCTTGAACACATTCTTATCAGCTCCATTGAATATGGCATTAAATGCTTTGGACTTTCATTTAGATGATAACTCATCATCATCACTCCAATCTTCTTCAGGCTTCAACACATCAGTAACCTTTCCATCTGCACCCATAACCTTTGGTGGATCCGATCCTTTGACAATATTTTTCCAAGCCTTGTTGCCTAGTTATTTTATAAACATTTCCATACGAGGTTTCTGACGGTCATAGTTTGTACCATCTAGAATAGGTATTTTAACCATTGTTCCACCATCTTTGTCCATTGCACCAGAAAGTAACTTCCTTGAATCTCACCCAGAGTCAGAGTAGGATGCCTACTCTGATACCAACTGAAATTATGGCTATCAAATCTCGAATGCCCTAAGAGATATTGAGATACTGGATCCGACTTCAACATGCAAAAATAGGATATTCAAACAAAACAAATAGTGTTTAAGGTAAATAACACACAAATATGTTTACCCAGTTCGGTGATAACAATAACTACTATTGGGGCTACCAAGCCAGGGATGAAATTAACTAGATAGTATCAATTTGTATACCACACAACAAACATACCAGTTTATAATCTACACACTTAATCATTACCATTTGCTTAACATCTACCTAAGACAAACCTAGGCATCAGGCCCTCCTCAAATCCCTCTTTAATCACACTCAACGATTGGAGACACTCTAAACACACTAGAGAACAAAAACAGGAAGTCACTCTTCCAAGACACACAATACTCAAAGCTTAAAAGCTTATGAGAACTGACACACAAATACTCAATGCTTAAAAGCTTATGAGTATCTGACACACAAATACTCAATACTTAAAAAATTATGATCAACTGACACACAAACATCCAATTCTTAAAAGCTCATGGATGCTTGAGAGAACTTACAACCCAAAACAACCCTACTGTTCTATTAAATAATGATTCTAAAACTCTAAGGATTCTAAATAAGGATTCTAAAACTCTAAGGATTTTAAATAAGGATCCTAAAACTCTAACAAAAGCACACGTAAATTCTACCTAAAATTAGGTATAAACCACTCTATATATAACATTATTATGGACTGGGTTGGGCTTCAAAATCACAACAGTGAGGCTTCACAAAGTCTACAAAATCTTCTCCAAGAAAATAGGTCTTCAATAATTTGTTTCCTAAAATGTCTCCATATTTAGAAATATATTATATCTTCGAAAACCAACATAGAACCTCTGATTAGTCAATCTTGAACGTCATATAAGCTAACTAAATATTTCCTGAATATTCAGTAACTAACATATAAGCTGAAACATAACTATCAACTACTTCTGACACAATGTCATATCCTCTTGGTTGTGACATCCTATTCGACATGTTGAAAACTTCAAGTTGGAACATCTTGTCCAACATGTTGCTACTAATTTGGTTTTACCAAAATGTATGTCGATCATTATTTTAGAGATATAACAAATATTACTCTTGGAATTTTTAAGCAAAAGTGGGAATTTTTTAGAGTAGCAATAGGATAAATCCGAGGAGTATGTGGAGTAAATAAAGCATGGATCAGATCAATGTATCTAGTGGGAAGCCTGAAAAATCTTGGAGTAGATGCGTAAAGATGGTTTGTTATTAAATTGCAGCATGTCTCTGGAGTTGGTTCTTCTAGTTTTGCTCTTTAACATTCCTCAACCCCATTTGAGGGCACATTTTCTAAAGATGCTGCTCAGTAGTATTTATATGTTTTTGTTCGTATGTTAGGTTTTTTCCCTGTTGATGGTCTATGTGGTTGATTTTCGTATTATCATGTTTAATTTAACCCACCAAAAAGATATATTTCTCTATTTTTAATTGTTTATTCATTTCTGATATATTATGATTGGAATATTTTACACCTACATTGTATGTTATCTTTATATCTTATATTTGGCATATTTCAATTGTTTAAGGGAGATTCTCATGATATACTCTTGTATAGTGACCGAAAAAGCTACAATGTGTGACTACATGGAGTATTAATATAAGTGACTATATAAAATAATTACTTGACGCCACTTTAACTATGAGTAAGTATAAATATAATATGACGTCCTCTTGGTTTTTCAATAATCTTTTTGTGTAAGCAAAACTATAATTTTCATGTCATTTTCACATAATAAGTTGAGTTTTACTTTTAACTCAATTATTTATTACAAAGAACCAATACCTTTATTAGTGCACAAATAAAAAACAAGAGCTTAATCAGTAAACAACAACAATAATCAAGTTTTTCCAAAAGAAAATACTTATTTAATACTTAAATAAGAGCTTAATTAGTACACAATAATAACTAAGCATTTTCCACTAAGTTGGAAATTAATTAAGATAATACAGTACACAGACACCGATTAATATATATGAACTAGTTTTGTTTTAACCATCCATCTAAGTAAATTTGGTTGGATTCACGGTTGGATTTTGCGGTTTTGGTTCGGGTATCTTTCAACCATCCATCAAGGTAAATTTGGTTGGAGTTATGGTTGGATTTTGCGTTTTCAGTTCGGGTATCTTTCAACCATCCATCAAGATAAACTTGGTTGGAGTTATGGTTGACTTTTACATTTTTGGTTCGGGTATCTTTCAACCATCCATCAAGGTAAACTTGGTTGGAGTCAGGAGTAGATTTTTCTTTCTCAGCTCGGATATCTTTCAGCCATCCATCAAGGTAAACTTGGTTCGATTCAGAGGTAGATTTTTCTTTTTCAGCTCGTATATCTTTAAACCATCCATCAAGGTAAACTTGGTTGGAGTCAGGGTTGGATTTTTCTTTCTCGGTATGAGTGTCTTTCAACAATCCATCAAGATAAACTTGGTTGGATTTAGAGGTGGATTTCGCTTTCTCAGTTCGAGTATCTTTCAACCATCCATCAAGGTCAACCTATTTATATTCAGGGTTGACTTTGGATTTCTCAGTTCTGATATCCTTCAACCATCCATCAAGGTAAACTTAGTTGGATTTAGGGTTGGATTTGACTTTCTCGGCCCTGGTATCTTTCAACCATCCATCTAGGTAAACTTGGCTGGACTCATGGTTGGCTTTGGCTTTCTCGACTCTGGTATCTTTTAACCATCCATCAAGGTAAAATTGGTTGGATTTAGGGTTGACTTTTGTTTTCTCGCCTCTGGTAATCTTTCAACCATCCATCAAGGTAAACTTGATTGGGGTTAGGAGAGGGTTTTTAGTTCTCTAGTGGAGTGTTTTTGAGCCAACCATCAAGGTAAGGTCGATCAACCTGTTTCATATATCTTGCAATGCTTCCATGGCTATTCTACAATACAATTGAGTAAATGGATATTACTGAGTAACAAATTAATTACATGTTTATGATGGTATATATGGTTAGAAAACCACTAGTGTATTATGAGACATATTTTGTTGTATAATGGAAGATATATTCTTTATGTATATATAGTAGATAGATACATAATTTGAAGAATAAAAATAGGAAGTGGAATATTTTTAATTTAATTACAATAAAAAACAACATAATTTTTTTAAATCGTATAGAAGAACTCGATTCTTAGCATGTTGAATGCATGAAAAAAAACTAATGAGAAGAATCTTAGAAGCATGCATTAAATTCTACATGCTTGTACAATTGCAAATAAAGATGACAATGATATATTATGAAGATGTTTAATTTTTTTAATCTTTTAACATGCATGCACGATTACAAAAAAAGATGAAATAGATTATTATTATTATGATAGAAGCATGCATGGAAAGTTAGTAACTCACAATCAACAATAGCAGGAGAAAAGGAATGAGAGACAAAATAACTCTACGTTCCATTTCTGTTTGTTATGTTATTTTGCTGTGAAATATGAATTAAAGTGGAAGTGAGTTGACTTATTTATAGGCAAGTAAAAAAGAATAGTAGTATAAATAACTAGGGCATTAGTACTTCGTTTAGCAAAATAATTTTGTAAGTCTATAGTTCATTTCTTAGGAATATGACTTATGTTTTGGACATTGTCATGAGTTGTATGAATCTTAAATTTACAACACAAACAACAATGAATATGAATCAAGGCAATAAGACAAAATAGTCGCACAAGAAATTCTTGAAAATAGTGTGTAGAGTTTGCATACTTTAAGAAGTTAATGTGACAACTTAAGCTGACACAATCAATCACTTGTAGGGCTTTGCATTAAATAATTGTATTTGTCTTTTTAAGAGTCAAAAGAAAGGAAGTTGGAATCCAAAGCAACATTTTTTAATTTAATTTTAAATTGTCAAATTTTATTATAAATAAATGTTTATAACACAAAAGTTTGAATTAGTACTAATAAAAGTATATAGATGAAACATATATTACTAACAAACTCTGTAATGGCAGAGAGATTGAAACAAAAAGGTGTGCTAATAAAAGTAAATGGAGGAAACATATTACTAACAAATTCCATGAAACACCCAAATATATGTGACATTTAAAAGTGGTTCGTGATAGACTAATACAATCGGTCATTATTATAAATATAAAAAAGTATTTTTGGTTTATTAACCAATTGAGTGAGTAGTTTCTCTACGGTGTACATTTTCTGCAGTGAAATTTGAGCTATTGATTTAATTATATTTTATTTAACTAGAGAGGAAGTCACTGTAATAAATGGTGAAGATGTGAGTTGAATTTGGTCTAGTTAAAATTCCACGAAAGAGAATCCTCTCCCACTAATTCATGTATTTGATCATTATTATATATTAGATACATAATTGTTTCATTTCTAATTGTTTTATTTTATTCTTGAATTCTCATAAAAAATACTATCTAAATTTTAGAATTCAAAATTTTAAAAAATACCATCTAAATTTTAGAATTCAAATATTTAAGGACGCTTTCGAAATCTTTTTCTTTTTCACATTTATTTAAGTTGACAGTTTTTGGATTCTTCAATCTGAAATAATTTGAAGTCTATAATTTTAATAAAGAGAACAATTTTCATAATTATTTTTATAATGGAGATTAAAATATAATCATTAACTGAAGAAAATATAGTAAAATTCTCTTCAAATAGTTTTTGGTAATATCACCATATATTTTTAACCAGTAAATCAATTATAATAAGTAATTTATTTATATTTTTTTCATATAATTTTTTTTTACATGATTTTCAACCTTCACAAACTTATTTCAATCCAAAAACAACCAAACCATACCTGGATAGTTTCATGTGTAGCAGAAATTGTTCCATGCAGCTTAAGTAAAGGGAAAACAATTGTGAAACGAGAATTTCTGTCTCCATGTTGTCGTCTTCTTGCAGGTATCTGGAAAAAAAACCAAAATACTTGAAGAACCCAGATGTGCATATTTGATCGCGCCGTATTTGTCAAGAAAAGGTGTTTTTGCATGTGCATATCCGAAGCCATTTTATTTTGTCAAGAAAAGGTAACTTTGCATGTGCATATCTGCATTCACCGCATAAATTGTTATCAGGACTCTGAACAGAACATAGAACTTATTTCTTTACAAACCCATAAACCTCATTCCAACTCATCTCCTCATTTTTACTGATCTAGAGTCATTCCAACTCATCTCCAAAGCTGCAAATTTGTTTATGTTTTCTCTATTTCCATTTGATTTACTTTGCAATGCTATAATAATTTATTAGGTTATTTAGAACCAAGGACATTATGTAGGTTGATGTTAGAGTCGTTAAACGTTGGTGTTTGTGTGGCGAAAACACCAGAAGAAACACCACCGCTACGAACAAACCTAGAAATATTCGCGTGAATCTTCTTGCCATCAATGATAATGTTATCAATCTTCACTGCCAACATTTTAGCCTCCACAACTTCCTTGAACCTTGCAAAACTAAATCTATTCTCCACTTTGTTTCTTTTGGGTGGACTAACTACCTACACAACATCACCCACCCAACCGAATAACTCATATATATCAAGAACTCTAATTCTATCAGGGACTTTAGAAAAGAAAGTGGTATAAATGTTTCCTTCTGCAGACCAAGACGAAACCCGTCCAACCGAAAAGGTGACCCAGTGAAGAACCACCCTCCTTATGCCTTTCCTTCTCACCTCCGTCCATTCAGGACCGCTGGACATTATGTGAAAAGTATAAAAGCCATTAGTACCTTTTAGAGAGTTCTCTCTCTAGGAACCTTTTTTTTGCAGTAATTTGTTAAGGTGTCAGTTATGGAAATAAATTATTACTATGTTCTATAATAAGAGTGACATGATACACATCACCAAAACATAATGCCTTAAACATAACCATTTGGATGGTGATGAAGAAACCCTATATGTTCCACATCGTTTTCCTTTCACTTAATTTCAGTGTTTATATAATTCACACAAATGTACACTATTGTATATTTGTGAGTTGGTGATTGCAAGCAATTTCTTTTAAAAATTATATTAATTAATTTATAAATAAAAATTCCATCTTGGTTGATTGCAAGCAATTTCTTTTTGTCTAAGACTAGCATTTCTCTTCTTTAATATGTTATCATAAGTTGAACAATCATAGGTTGGAACTAATGTTCAAAACGAACACAAATGATATAGCTACTACTCAAGAAGAACACAAATGATATATCTACTGGACAACTAAATTAAAAACAAGCTAAACTGTTCAACTGATGTAATATATATCCACACAAACTTGCAGGTAATACAATTTCAGTTCTCTTCTACGTATAATATTTTATGTTATTATTTTGGTATATACCATATCAAACTTTATAGGAACAAAATTCATTATATATGTCATACACACCTATTGTACCTCAATTTTCCCCCCTAAGATCCCTTCATCATATCATCTCAATTCAATCATAACAAGATAGCATTAGGATTTGGTTCTTCTTCCTATCGTTAGCTTTTGCTCTAAGAGGAATCACCAAGCACCTTGACTTGTATTTTATGATCATTCATGTTTTGTATTGATTATCCTTTAACTAATAAATGCAATAATCATTTTCCCCAGTTGTTGATGTTGTAGGTGAAAGCACAATGCATTCCGTAAAGATTGATCTAGGGATCCATGAGTTCATTTCGGTGCCTTCCTCAACAAAGTTTATTTGAGATTCAAGCCTCATCATTAAACATGTTTTGAAATAATATCATGACAAAGTATTTTATGATTCATCATTACTCAAGTTGTCAAATTTAGTTCAAAAGTACAAGGGTTGATTGAAGAAGTTTGACTCAAATGTACAAGTCTTCGATTTCAATGATCACAAGTGCATATCTCCTTCAATTCCCAAGATTTGGAAGTGGTTTTGATTGAAATATTTTCTCCTTATCATCCTAAACAACTTATAATCACATAACAAAGGTATTTGTGCAAGAAGGTTGGTCAAAATTGAAAAGGTTTCCCAAGGCATTTTCTTGCTCTAGGAGCTAGGGTTTTGAACTTCAAAAAGGGTATATCTTGCTCATATTTTGGTATTTTTGAGTGATTCCAAATACATCATTCTCTTCAAAGGGTTATTAACACCTCACTTTAAAAGTTTCAAAGAAATTATGTGTGAACGAAACTTGATGATGAAGAAAGATTACAAGTCATCCAGGTGAACCCTCAATTTCCGTAGTGTGACTTCAAATTACCATAACTTGATCAATTTTTATCACCTTGAGCCCATTATTTTTCCACAATGATATTGAAGAAGTGAACTTCAACCTTTCTTTTATGTTCAAAGCTTGAAATGTTCTATGGATGCAAAAGATTATAGGTAATTTCTTGAATTTTTGCCAATTCAACAAGTCAAAACTCTCTCAATTTTTGGAGATTTTAAATGGTTCAAGTTTAAAAATTCCATTCAAGAGTTCTACTCCATGCCATCTTTTTTGGTCAAGAGAAAATTTCAAGTGGAAAACCGTGTTTGGATACAAGACATTATAAGTCATTTTTGAAGAAAAGCTTAGAAATTTTCTAAATATGGAAAGTCAACTTCTTTTTCCCAATTTTGACTCATTGCAACTTTCAGCTCAAGGAACCATTTGTTCCCATTATTTACACATTGCAAAGCTTTTAACCTCGTCTTTCTAAAGCTTCATGAATCATGTCCTAAGACCCCTTGAGTTGAGAATTCCATTGGTTTGAATTTGGCAATTTGAA